AAGACTGACAAAATCTGTGGCAGGGGAGGCGCTTTCTTTAGTCACTGCTCACTTCTTCTTGATGTATTAGAGTGGTACATAACGTCAACCCTTGACATTTTGTGGTTAGCTCGGCCTTCTGCGGCAGCTGTTTTGTGACTGTGCTCACTGCCCTGTGTCAGAACTCCAAAGGTGCTCGCAGGCTCAGAAAGGGTGGGGGATCCCTGGTCTACTGATACCGACATTTTGTATTAACAAATGGCCCGGGGGCATAAAGAGGCTAACTAAGGCTGCATTCACACACACTAAATCAGGGGTGTCAAAGTCATTTGTTATGAGGGCCGGATATGACAAAAATGAGACCTTGCTGAGCCGGGCCATGTGTGTCATAAAATGTGATGCCAGGTAGCGGAGATATAAACTTTATCAAGGACACAAACACAAAGATTTTTTTTTAACTTAAAATAAAAACATGCTTAAAACATTAGCTCTGTAAGCGGCAAACCTACTTTTGATTTGTCGACATTCACCACAGAAATCTCACGCTCAGAGTTCTGAGTCTAGGACCCAGGTTAAAACATGAAATGGCTGAGTGATTAAGAGAGTCTGGCGAAGCAAGCTATGATGCAGCAGCAGAATTGGAAGCAGGAGATGGGCAGTTCCACCGCGGGCCTGATGGAAACCCTGATCTGGGGCCCTGATCTGGCCCCCGGGCCGCATGTTTGACACCCCTACACTAAATAATCCACTTTCAGTGCACTTTCCAACTGGATTTTACTGTGTGAACTGGCAAAACCCAGTTGGAAAGTGCGTTGAAAGTGGGTTGAAAGCGGATTATTTAGTGTGCGTGACTGCAGCCTAGGGGATTACCACTAAGCAGAACAAGTCTCAGTTTGGTCAGTGCTTGGGTAAGTCCGTCTGAGACCTCCAAAGAGAGGCAAGATAGTTAAGGAGCTCTCGGCAGCTCTCGGCCAGATTGAGCCCGGAGCTGGGGGAAGCCCCTGGGAGGCTCTGTCTGGAGGATGAGTCTATCGCAAGACTGATGCGACACAAGAAGCCCACCTATGGTTCCTAACTCCAGCTTGGGAAATTCCTGGAGATTCTAGAGTTGGAGCATAGGAGCTCACCAATGGTCCCTCTAAGCTGTGGAGTCCTGTGAGCAAAAATTCTACTTTGTGAGCTACTGGCAATAAAGTTGTGAGCAAGCAATTTAGCCGCTGCTTAAATTAGTTTGCTCTGGAGCCATCCTTCCCGAGCTAAGACAAAAATCTATGAGCTGGAGGCTAAAAAACTGTGAGCTGGCTAGTACCAACTCAGCTTAGAGGGAACACTGGATGTGACGCCACAGATTCCACTCTCCAAAGCTGCCGGTTCCTCCCGGGGAACTGACCTCTGAAGTCTGGAGATCAGCTGTGATTCCAGGAGAACTACAAGCCTAACAGGTGGGCTGACTACCCTAAGCCCACCTGAAGTGTCTGTGTAGGGGAGGGAAAGCAGGCGTTACAGGAAGAAGGGCAAAGAATTAGATGGGGAAGCTGAAGTGTTGGGAAGGGAGACCCAAGAAGGACCAGGGCCCATGGGCAAGCAAGCAGATGACCTATTTTAAAGAACTGTCGTCCCACCTCTTACCGTTCACATAGGGAAGCCAGCCTCCAGGTGGGATCTTGGGATCTCCCAGATTTACGTCTCATCTCCAGACTCCAGAGATCAGTTCCTCTGGAGAAAACAGATGCTTTGGAGGGTGGACTCTATGACAGTGTTACCCCACTCATGTCCCCGTCCTCCCCAGGCTCCATCCCCAAATCTCCAAGAGTTCCTCGACCTGGATCTGCCCACCCTATCTCCCCATCCCCTGCTAGTGGCCAGGGAGGACTTTGGCAACCCTTGCACCATCACAAACACATACACAAAATACAACACAACAGAAGCAAATATAGTCATTTTCTATCTGACTTTTTAGAAAGTGAGATGTTTGAAGAGCTGCAGCACATTCAAAGATTATCGCAGGGCTCTGCTGCCTTTTTTTCAACTGCCAGTCCTAACTAGGCCTCCAGCCTGACCTGGGAGCACTTCCATAACGTGTCAAGAAGAAACCACAAGCTGCCTAGAGAGGCAATGCCTTGCCAGGACCTTTCTGCCATTATTTCCTCCTGTTTCCATCCTCAAATACTGGCCATACAGGACGGCATCAGTTCACAGGCCTGGTTCAAGACCCAGCTGACTTGACAACACCACCTCAGTATTTCCATCAACACCACCCTCAGTACTTCTCAGGCAAAACTGCAGCCGTCACTCCAGCCCTGATCGCACCCACTGCATTGAAAGTTGTTGCAAAGTGATTCCCCGAGAAGCCGCAAAAGGAAAACTCTCCACTTTCTTCCCACCATTCTGGTTAGCTTTGGCTCCTAAGAACTTTCTTGGCCAGACAACAAAGCCACAAGTGAGATCTCCTTACCCACCAAGACACAATGCAGCTAAACACCAAACTTTCATTTGCACCTGCCAGGGACAAACAGCCCAATGAATAAGCAAAACACTACCAAGCACTTGCCGCCTGGAATGGATTTGGGGGGGGGGGACTGGCTAAAAGCACTGGCGATCAATTCCTCTCCTTGAAATAGCTACTGCTGATCTGTCCTCGTTCCCTTTCCCGAAAAACACAAAAACATAAAACAGTGTGCCTACTTGTTGAAAGATTTTGCAGTTATCAGGGTTTTTTTTAAAGAGGAGGAGAATCACAAAACAAAGATGGCGCGTTGGAGTAGGAATGTTCCTACAGGTACTTTTGCTAGGGTTGTCAACCTCCAGGCGGGGCCTGGAGATCTCTCACTATTACAACTGATCTCCAAACGACAGAGATCAGTTCCCCTCGAGCAAATGGCTACTCCGGAGGGTAAACTCTAGGGCAGTGATGGTGAACCTTTTAGAGACCGAGTGCCCAAACTGCGACCCAAAACCCACTTATTTATCGCAAAGTGCCAACGCGGCAATTTAACCTGAATACTGCGGTGGTTTTACTTTAGAAAAAACAACTCATACATTAACTTAAGATGATCCAAACGAAGTAAGGAAAGCAATCCCAAATGCTTTCATTTACTTAAAATTATTTGGCAGATTATTCGACACTTTAATGATGGTCTGGGCCTGGCTGGGGGGATGGCACGCGTGCCCACAGAGAGGGCTCTGAGTGCCACCTCTGGCACCCGTGCCATAGGTTCGCCACCACTGCTCTAGGGCATTAGACCTTAATGAGGTCCCTCCCCACCCCAAACCCTACCCTACCCAGGCTCTACCCACAAAGTCTCCAGGTTATTTCCCAACCCAGAACTGGCAACCCTAACTTTTGCATTTGTTTTCACTTTCACACACAGTCGAGACAACCGTTTGCACATCACCTACTTCCTTTTGCAAAAGTTTCCCATTTTCTATTGTTTTTCATGCCATTTCAAGCAATCAGTGCAAACGCTGACTGTTATTTTACTGAATTTTGTTAACGTGGCCAGGAAAGAAAGACATGGCAGTTTCATTCCAAGTTTGGAGAAAACATAAAAGAAATCTGAACTTCTGGCTCGATCCGGGAGGCCCACAAGATCCCAGTGCCGGGAAGATCAAATCAACTGCCCATCAACCCACAGCTGGCAAAGAGTTTGAGCCCCCTCAAAATGACCTCTTCAAGAAGGGCTTCTCCCTTCCTTAAAACTGGCCAGCTGGTATGAAGGGGGACTTACACGGAGAGACAGAAAAACACTAAAAGCATATGGCTGGTGCTAAGCCACCAGCTAGGACAGTTCCCCTTGAGCTTCCAGAAGTTCCAGGTGATCTAGAAGAACCTTCATGAGGCTATGGCTCTTCAGAGTCAGTTTGCACATGCAATTCAACCATGTGGCACAGAGTTCCAGGGAACCCACCATTTTAAAATGTAGGTGGAGACCGGATGGTTGAAGTTTCCCCTCCTACATCAAAACTCCCTGCAGACAGGTGCAAAAAAACAACAACCCCTTAGCAGGTCAGGGAGAGGACTTGAGTGTAGCCTTCTTCCTGATGTACTCAGCAATATCCCCACTTTCCTCCCCTCTGCCCTGAGGAGGGGGCATGCATACAGGCAATACCTCCAACCAGCAACAGTATCGGCTGAAGGGCACTGGACCACTGCTAGGGTTGCCAGGCCTAGTGTACCGGTGGGCAAAGGAATGGGATGCTGGGAGGTCGACTCTAAGCACTGTTGAAGTGTGGATCAGTGTGGAGCCAGTGTGGTGTAGTGGTTAAGAGCGGTGGACTCTCATCTGGAGAACCGGGTTTGATTCCCCACTCCTCCGCTTGAAGCCAGCTGGGTGACCTTGGATCAGTCACAAGTTCTCTCAGAACTCTCCCAGCCCCACCTACCTCACAAAGTGCCTGTTGTGGGGAGAGGAAAGAAAAGGCGATTGTAAGCAGGGTATAAAAATTAACGCTTCTTCCTCTCAAACCCTAACAAACTAGAAATGAAACTGCCTTATACTGAATCAGACCATCATTCCATCAAAGTCAGTCCCGAACACTCAGAAAGGCAGCATTTCTCCAGGGTCTCAGTCTTGAACATCACCTATTACCGGATCCTTTTAACTGAAGAAGCCGGGGATTGAACCTGGGACTTTCTGTATGCCAGGCAGATGCTCTGCCACTGAGCCACGGCCTCTCCTCGTGCAGGTTTCTCTTCAGACAGGGTAGAGATGAGAGCAATGATACCTGCTGGTCAGATCCTCTCTTTTCACAGGGCAGGACAGGTAACCAAACCCAGCAGGTTTAGAGGGAGGTGGGAAACTGCTTGCATGTGGAGGATAGATAAACGAGGAAGGCAAGTGTGTCTAGAGACTCTTTCCTGACATGCTAGGTTTCTGTGTGCAATCTAGTCAGGTGAACACACTCTACAACTCTCCCCTCTCCCCAAGCAAGAACAATTGCACGCAGCAGGCACATAAGCTGCCTGAAGATTTTAGCCCCCCAAAATGGCATGGAAGGGAACCCCTGGGCAGACCGTCTACCTTGGAAATGAGTTCATCGTGGTTTGCCAGGTGTGCTCTGCAATGGATGCAGCTGTAGGTTCTGTGGCAGGAAGGCAAGTAGGCCTGGAACGTCTTGGACCGGGTCATCTTCACCATTGGAGCCACCGAATGCTGCGTGAACTCGGGGGTGGCCCACGAGGCGCTCCCACAGGAGGGGTCGCAAGGGAAACACTGGAAGACGCAGGTAAAGGCCGTGATTCGGAAGGGGGCGGGTGTGGGGCGGGCTCCACACGCTGGCAACAGCTTCAGGGTCAGAGAACCAGGCACAGGAGCGGCCAGATCTGTACGGACCTGAGTGGACAAAATAACAAAAAACGAAAGGTTTCTTAACAATTGCCCCAACATTGTGTACACTCGTCAGCACAAAAGCGGTCATGGTCCCTCACGTTTCCCTGAACCTGCGTCCAAGTCAAATTTTACAACACTTATTGAGTATATTTTTATTTTTGACACTGGGTGATCCTGGGCCAGTCAATCTCTCTTAGCCTAATCCACCTCGCAGGGCTGTTGCAAGACTACATGTGAAGAAGGGAAAACTGTGAATGCCACGTCCAGTTCCCCCAAGACAGAATGGGATAAAAATTAAAACTATCATAAACGAGAGAGAGAGAGAGAGAGAGAGAGAGAGGTGCCATTAAGTCTCAGCCGACATATGGTGACCCCAGCAAGGGGCTTTCAAGGCAAGCATGCAGCATCAATGGTGGTCTGCCATGGCCTTCCTCTGCAGAGCCTTCCTTGTTGGTCTCCCATCCACGTACTGACCCTGCTTAGCTTCTGAGACCTGACGAGATCGGGCTATACCATGCGGCCTTCCCTCCAAACAATAATATACCAATTATATCAAAGGCAAGAAAAAAAAACCCTCAAGAAAATACGGGGGAAATGTTATTCACCTGGTCCCTAAGACTCAAAGAGTTTAGTACAAGGAAACAGTTGTTCGGAGAAAGTTCCTGAGTTGAGATGCCACCTTCAGTTGCAAGGTGAACATTCTTGAGCTGTGGCAGCAGCGTCTGCCAAAGCAACCATTTTTAAAATCTGCACAGCCAACCAATGGCCAATCAGAGTGGCAAAAAAGAAGCATGAACCCATACTAGGCACGGTGCCTCTGAATATATGCAGAGTGCATTTCCCTAACTAGTAACCTACGTGTAGCCATTGCACATCCAGGACTGGGGGGAGACAGAAGGACTTCCTATCAGGTGGAAGGGCTACAAAAATAGTCTGGGCACTTATTTATTCTTCTGGTGTATTAAACACTGTGTATCACAGTTGCCCACTGATATGGGGAGGGGGGGGACAAACACCCCCTTTCCTGCTTGTAATGGCCTGACTTGCAAAAGTCAGCACTTTTTCACAACATGGGATGTAACCATAGCAAGCTAATGTTATTTATTTGTTTGTTTGTTTATTTATTTAAATTTATATCCCGCCCTTCCCAAACAGGCTCCGGGCGGGTAACATCAAAGCATATAACAATAAAAAACAATTAACGCAATTAGTTGTTTTTAAACAACTAAAACCAGAAAACAATTAAACAATTAGAAGTTGGTGATCAATAATGCAAATAATGCTGTCCATATAATGAATTCATATAATGCCAATGTGGGAGAGGGGAAGCGCCATCAGGTTGCAGTGACCCTGTAGGATTTTCAAGGCAAGAGAGGAACAGAGGTGGTTTGCCATGGCCTGCCTCTGCGTAGCAACCCTGGACTTCCTTAGTGGTCTCCCACCCAAGTACTGATCAGGGCTGCTTAGCTTCCAATATCTGAGGAGACCGGGCTCACCCCTGGGTCATCCAGGTCAAGGGAATGTAACGCTAATATTCCCCACTAAATGGCACAGTTGCAACAGCTGTTGGCAACCTCTCCCATCAAGCTCAGGATGCAGGGCTTCACCAGCTCCAGAAAACAGGAAGGCAACAAATAGGATACAGACCCTGGAAGTCTTTGATGGGGTCCTAAAGAGAAACTATAACTGACATTCCAACTATCACGAACTTCTGAACATTCAATAGGGTATAGCTGAACACAGATGGAGGGTCCCTTAATTTCAGGGAAGCCACTACTGGCGAAGAAGATAATCAGGAACCCCCACATCCCCTGGGCCTCCACACCCCAATGCCTCCCTCCCACGGTTGAATGGAAATTGTGCTGTTGGCTTTAAACAGCTGACATGTTCAGAAGCAGCGAAGAGGCTGCCGTGGAAGGCAGTGACTGCTCGCATTTTTGTTAACAATGCCTATTTCAACACAGCCGGGCCACATTCACTCCTTACACAGCAAGAAGGCTGCAATGTCCTCCACTAACTGACATTGAGAATTAGAAGCCAGCCCTCCTCGTCAGACATATCCAAGCTCTCTTCGATCTCTGTTTGGACATAACCGTGAAACCATGGCTTATTTTCATTATGGTTAGTTTGTGAAACCAGGATTCAGCATGCAGATCAGTCAAATCCTGGTTTGCCATGACCAGTGTTGGTTTTGTCACCTCTCCACTTTCGCTCCCCCACAAGAATTCGGCTCCTATCTAGGGTTGCCAATCTCTAGGTGCCAAAAATGAGAGATCACAGGAGGAAGTGAAATTCCAAAAATATCAATGACAAAAATAACGAAAAGTCAATAAAGATAAGTTGCAAAACATTTACTGTAGTAATTCTGTAGAAAAAAATTTCTCACATGCAACGAATACTGCGCAATATAAATTCGTTTCGCAATATTTGCTTTATCTGAGCATGTAGCAATCCCAATTCTTATCAATTACTACTTATCAACAAGAACTGTTATTAGAGAGTCAACATGGAATGTTTCCTTCAAGAGTTGGGATTGCTACACGCTCAGATAAAGCAAATACTGTGAAACTAATTTATATTGCGCAGTATTCATTGTGTGTGAGCGATAATAGAAGAATTTTTTTTCTACAGAATTACTACAGTAAATGTTTTTGCAACTTATCCTTATCATCTCTAAGTGCCACCTGGAGATCTCCCACAATTAGAACTGATCTCCAGGCAACAGACATTAGCTCCCCTGGAGAAAATGGCTGCTTTGGAGGGTGGACTCTATGGCATTGTACCATGCTAAGGTCCCACCCCTCCCCAGGCTCCACCCCCAAAATCTCCAAGTATTTCCCAACTCAGAGCTGGCAACCCTATTTCCTATCCCAGACTGCATTGTTGAAGAACATGCAAATGCCCCAATTTATCACACAACGTATCTATTTAAAAATGTATAAACATTTAGATGATACAAAGGTGCAGCCTTAAAAAGAAGCAGTCAGACTTCACTGTCACATAGGAGGGAATGCCTTGTTCTAAGATTGCATCTGCCCCTCCCCCACAAAAGCTATTATTTTCCTCACACAGAGTTAGTCTAGCACTCGGGCAAAAGTCACACAAATGATTTCTTTGAATTGGGCAGCAGCCCTACATGCTTTTTTTATAACACGCCACCCGTGTCTTCAACAATCAGAATTCAAATAATTCAGCCTAGCAGTAGGGCTGCAATTTGACTGCCACTAGCAGGCAATTCCCCACTCCGGCACTCACTTTCCCACTGCCAATCAATAGGATGGTAGGAGAAAAAAATAGGGAGGACATGACATCATTTCCTGGTGAAAACCTGGAAGTAATTTCACTACCTACTGTGATGTTCTAGGAATTCCACCAATCTACCTACTAGAAGAAGAAGAAGAGAAGGAAGAGATTGGATTTATACCCCGCCCTCCACTACCCGAAGGTGTCTCAGAGTGGTTTACAATCTCCTTTTCCTTATCCTCCCCACAAAAGACACCCTGTGAAGTCAGTGGGGCTGAGAGAGCTCTCTCGAAAACTGCTCATGAGAGAACAGCTCTGAAAGAACTTATGACTGACCCAAGATCACACCAGCGGCTGCAACTGGAGGAGTGGGGAATCAAACCCAGTTCTCCCAGATTAGAGTCCGTGCTCTTAACCATGACACCAAACTGGCTCTCTACTATGGCATCAGACTGTGACAACGCTTCCAGGTTTTCACCTGGAAATGTCAAGACTTTTTCCAGGGTTCCGCCCATAGAAAGCTCTCAAAGATTGCCAACAACAGGCTGACAACCCTATACAGAGGCAAAACACATTATGTAGAGCCTTTCCTCACTTCTCTGACACTATCCTGTCTATCCAACGTCTTCCGGCAGAGTTTTTCTGGATTTTGAAGCAGCTCTGATCCTGGGCCTCTGCAGATTAGATCCAGAAACCATACATGCCCACTATTTGCTTATATCTGCTCCAGCTCAGATGTCATGGCTGATTCAAGTACATCTTAGGAGGCCACTGGAACACAGTCTGGTCCCAGTTGTACGAATGACTCTCAGTAAGCCAGGCCGGCCAAAGTGGACAAACTGCTTAGACCTCCACATCTAGGCTCAACCTTTGCCCTTCTTGGCTGATAGCATCAAGCCGGTCCGGCAGGTTATAAATGCCTCTCAGCAAAAGGGTATAATTCTGACATCCTTGAAAGAGGCAATGATAAGACCCATCCTGACAAAGGTGTCCCTGGACTCTAGAGACTTAAATACTATTGCCTAGTGTCCGGTGTTGAACATTCCTTCCTTGGGCAAGGTGGTTGGGCAGGTGATAGCTACACAGCTTCAGGCAGTCCTGGAGGAGACGGATAATCCATACCTATCGCAATTTGGATTCAGGCCTCAGTTCGGGTGGAAAACGGCCTCGGTCTCCCTGACTAATGATCGGTATTGGAAGACTGAGGGAGGAACATGTCCATGTTGATTCTCCTGGACATCTGAGTGGTTTTTGTCAGCACTGACCATGGCTTCCTTCTGAAGAGGGTGTGGAGAATACTACACTTCAGGGGCTCTGCCATTACTTCAATGGATGATTCTAGAAGTTAGTGCTGGGGGACAGCTGTTCAGCTCTGAGGCATTCACGTTACGTCCAGCAGGGATCCATCTTGGCCCCTATTCTGTCTAACATCAACACAAAACTGCTGAGATAATCTCTGGAGTATGCACACCTGAGTCAGGTGCATTGGCAGAAGTCCTGAACAGGTATCTGGGGGTATTTATTTAGACATAAAAGGTTTATTAGCTTACAGAGCTCGACGGAGCTTACAATGTAAAAACATACAATAAAATACATAAAATCCATTAAAAACACTTAAAATCATAGTTTATGCCAGTCAGTAAATCAATCATCTGCACTCCTAAACAAAACCGCCTTCAACCTCCTCATAAAGATCAAACATGAGGGGGCCGGGTGGGAGTTTGTTCCGTAACTGTGGGTCTGCCACTGAAAAGACT